GCTAACAGTAATATGGTCGATAAGTTCGTGTTTCTGTAGATGCTCGTAAACCAAAGGCTTTCACCTGAATTTAACGAAGAAGGTGCAACGGAGAAAGTTGCATGTTCACCTTCGTTGTGGTTACACTACTTTCTAATGCTTTCCTTTAGTTATCACACACGTGTTAACACAAACGTAAAGAAACGTGCAGTAAGCTTTCTCGCCAGGAATAACGTCGACACTAGAGAGGCAACACCCTCCCAATACAGTGTTTTGTCTTTTAGTAACGGAACATGCAGCGTATCCCAGACAATAAGAGTCACTCTAAAATAGTTACAAACTCTTCGACCACTGTCAGACTTAGCAAGGAACAAACTAACAACATACCCATCAGTGCAGAAGTCTACGTCATACCTTGTGGTGGCTGTGACAAGAAGAATATGGGAGAAACAGCAAGATCCTTGGGGAGTAAGAGTACCTGAACACAAAAATACGTGTTAACCGCGACAACCAGAATATTGCCAGTGTCCAGCAAAGGAGCAAGCAACCACTTCATGAATTTGGGAGACGCCTAAATAATTATACTTGAACATGACCTATGCCGTCGTTAGTGTTTGGAGGGACCAGTTCCGAATCTGCACAAGAAAATCACTCCCTATGAAAACAGAAGACTCGGCAGGTGATGCAACATACCCCCCAGTGAAAAGCAGGGGTGTCAAGTAACACACAATAACAAGCCGGAACAATTTACAAGTAAGATAGCTGGAACAGTTCAACAGTAACTGACAGTAACATGGCTGGAACATTCTTAACCAACCCACAATTTTCGAGAGGAAACTTTTGATGACAGTGATGAATAAGACACACATGCATTCTTCGTCAACGTGACGGTATTGAATACCTCTTGATGATGTACTGGTGGATCACTGCTGTATGACATTGGTGAAGAGAATGACAAGTTTATGTACTCAGCCAGTTGTTGTCACCAGATTGTGTTTGTAAGGTTAGCAAGCATCGCTTGTTAGTGCTGTGTGTGTGTGTGTGTGTGTGTGTGTGTGTGTGTGTGTGTGTGTGTGTTTGTGTGTTTGTGTGTTTGTGTGTGTGTGTGTGTGTGTGTGTGTGTGTGTGTGTGTGTGTGTGTGTGTGTGTGTGTGTGTGTGTTTGTGTGTTTGTGTGTTTGTGTGTGTGTGTGTGTTTGTGTATTTGTGTGTTTGTGTGTGTGTGTGTGTGTGTGTTTGTGTGTGTGTTTGTGTGTGTGTTTGTGTGTGTGTTTTGTGTGTGTGTGTGTGTGTGTGTGTGTGTGTTTTGTGTGTGTGTGTGTGTGTGTGTGTGTGTGTGTGTGTGTGTGTGTGTGTGTGTGTGTGTGTGTTTGGTGTGTGTGTGTGTGTGTGTGTGTGTGTGTGTGTGTGTGTGTGTGTGTGTGTGTGTGTGTGTGTGGTGTGTGTGTGTGTGTGTGTGTTATGTTAGCACGGGTCGTGTGAGGGTAAATAAACAGCTGCTGTCTATTTACAGATGTTTTTATGCTCTTGTGAGTGTATCTTCGCTTCTAACAAATGCTCAAACACTCGCATTTGGACACTTGTAGACCTTTGTATGTATATGTAGGTCTGTATATGTCGTGCCGAATAGGTAAAACTTGCGATTTTGGCTTAAATAGCAACGCTCTTCGTGCTGAATAAGGCAAGCGAAAATTTGTATATGTAATAATTTCGCAAAAATCATTCTGAACCTAACGAAAAAATATATTTCATTGTGTTTGTTTATTATTAAATTATTGTAAACTTATCTACAATATATTTAGTTGGATTAGGCTAAATTAAATTGCGCTTGTTATAATAAGGTTCAGTAAGTTTTCTAAGGTTCTTTTGGTACAAAATTATTAATATATATATATATATATAATTTATTTATTTACATATATATATATATAGGATGGGGTCCACCTCTGGTGCAAATTGTGGGACCCACAGCCTCGGAGAAGTGGATAAAAAGTCTTCAAGGAAGAATATTTGGATTTCTTTCTGAAGCCGTTTGAATATTCCACTTCTCCAAACACCCCATCTTTTCATTCTTTTTACCAGTAGGAATATTTTATTACATAATATGGTGCAAAAGGTTTAAGAGATACATTGTTGATATAAAGATGGCATATACAGTACATGAGGTGTGAGAGATACGTGTCTAGTACATATTGCTACGTGTTTGTCACTGATAATAATGCTAAAATCTCATCCAGCTGTTCAGAACTAGGTCGCGTGCCCAAAATGCAAGAGGCATTACCCCTCTGAACATCAGCGCTGAGTCGCTGGAACAGAAAACTAGCTGCCCTGGGATCCCTAGTTACCCTGATGAGTCTTTTGCCTAGCTCCTTAAGGAATTTAGATGCACTCTTTCCCCATGAGCCAAGGGTCTCTGAGCCAGGTTTCAAGGGAGAATGCAGGGGATGAGATGAAAAGCCGTAAGCCTTCTCCTTGAAAGCTGGCTGCCTTGGATCAACGTCTAGCATTGCGCTAGTACGCTTCATATTTACCCTGCCCCTCCATCTGGTGTGTAACCCACATGTTGGTCAGCTAAAACAAATGCTTTAATGGTCGTGTTTAATGACTCGGGGCGCGTATTAGTGTTTAAGGTCGAAGGAATTAAGGTCTTTATATTTAATAATCTTCATTGCTGGAAGTTACGTGTCTTAACATCATACCAAATAATTATATATATATATATATTATATATATATATATAATATATATATATATATATATATATATATATATATATATATATAATATATATATATATTCTTATATACTTTTAAACGATATATTTTTTCATTTATGTTAATGTAAAATTAATAATATTGTGCCAAAAGTACCTTAGAAAACTTACCTAACCTTATTATAACAAACGCAATTTAATTTAGCCTAATTCAACTAAATATATTTTAGATAAGTTTATAGTAATTTAATTATAAACAAACACAATGAAATATATTTTTTTCGTTAGGTTCAGAACGATTTTTGCGAAATTGTCGCATACACAAATTTTCGCTTGCCTAATTCGGCAAGAAGAGCGTTCCTATTTAAGGCAAAATTGCAAGTTTTACATATATATATATAATATATATATATATATATATATATATATTATATATATATATATAATATATATTATATATAATTATGGTGTATATGTATACACACACACGCACGCTCTCTCTCTCTCTCTCCTCTCTCTCTCTCTCTCTCTCTCTCCTCCTCTCTCTCTCCTCTCTCTCTCTCTCTCTCCTCTCTCTCTCATCTCTCGCTCTCTCCTCAATAATAAGACCAATTGTCTTATAACAGAGAATTATCATTGTGCTGCTTCGATAACTGGGTCTCCTCGACATTAATTGCTATAATAATAATAATAATAATAATAATAATAATAATAATAATAATAATAATAATAATCATATTATGATTATGATTATTATTATTATTATTATTATTATTATTATTATTATTATTATTATTATTATTATTATAAAATTGATCAAAATATTTAGTAATTAAAATTAATAATGTAAAATAAATTTGTAATAAAATAATGTTAAAAAAGACAGACCTTGATGTCACTGCCCTCATAACTAGATAATAATTTTTTGAGTGAAAAACTCAAATTTTGGATTTGTTAGTTACGTAAAATGAAAACTGTTCAAATCGATAACTATATGCTGAGTTTACAGTGTGTTTACAATGTATTTATTAGGTTTACGGCGCGTTTACAATGTTCTTAGTACGTTTACAATGTTCTTAGTACGTTTACAATGTTCTTAGTACGTTTACAATGTTCTTAGTACGTTTACAATGTTCTGAGTACGTTTACAATGTTCTTAGTACGTTTACAATGTTCTTAGTACGTTTACAATGTTCTTAGTACGTTTGCAACGTGTTTAATAAATTTATAATATGAATTTATAAATGTGTTCAGTGCATTTACAATGTATATAGCTCATTTTCATTACATTTGCAATGTGTTTCATTTACAGCTCATTTACAATGTCTTTATCTCGTTTACAGTGCATTTACAATTTATTGAGTGAATTTATAGTTCATTTACAATGTATTTATCTAATTTAGAGTGCTGTTACAACGTCTTTGTCTCATTTACATTGCATTTACAATGTTTTTATCTCATTTACAGTGCATTTACAAAGTCTTTATAATTTATAGTGCATTTACAGTACAGAGAGGATTTACACTTTGTTTACAGTGCGTTTAGTGTATTTAGCACCAACGATCTTATGATAAATTTAACGAACCTCCCTTTTTAAATTCCGTTTTTACCTCAGGATAATCAAATATGCATTTCATCCCCCTATAATTAATTCCTCCTCCCATTTGGTACCTGATTAACATACAGAGTCTATTGCGACCCCTGAATGGGTCACAGTGTATATAATGTATATTACCTGTTCATATAATTCTATATTGCTTATATTTGCGATAATAGCTAAATCGTAAATATATTGCTTTATATTATTATTTGACTTGGTTATATTATTAGGTAGGATGTAACATTTATATATATTATTCAGTGCTCATAGTTCGAGTGTTGAGTAGCTGACAACATTGTCTAATTACCAGTTCCGCTTGTTTCCCTGCCGGCTTCTCTGTGTTGCTGGGCAGCAGCAGTCCACGGAGAGTCACGTGATCGGGGGGGGGGCGGTGATCACACCTCACCTGGGTGATCACACCCAGGTGAGGTGTGAGGATACTGACTACTTGTTACAAAAACCCAGTAACAGGCTGGATGCTAGAAGGGCAGTCCTTTCTAGTGTTCACTGGAGATCTCTATCATTATTAGAAATCGCGTTATTTGTAACAGAGTCCAACCAGGTAATTTTCTCTGATTACATTGCTAAAATGGCACCTTGTAAACACATACCATTTAAATTTGCCCCCTATTGCAGTGCCATAATGGGCACCTTTTAGACGTATAACCTGAGTCTAACCAAGTACTGTTTTTTTCTCTCCCTGCTGCAGTGCCAACTCACAGATGGACAACTCGGTGACACCCGTGTATTTGGCTGCTCAAGAGGGCCATCTGGATGTGCTTCAGTATCTGGTTAGCACCGCAGGGGGTCGTCTCGACCTCAGGGCCAAGGATGGCATGGCACCCATCCACGCCGCGGCTCAGATGGGATGTCTCAACTGCCTCAAGTGGATGGTAAGTTGGAGAGAGAGAGAGAGAGAGAGAGAGATGAGGGCCAAGATTAGAGGTGGGAGAATGAGACATGAGGGCGAAATTGAGAGATAAGGGTGCGTGAGAGGTGAGGGTATGAGAGCTGGAAGGGGAATGAGAACATGGGAAACACAGATAGCTGTGGGCTAGTAAATCCACACCGAGAGACTATCTGCTGAGAAATATCTAATTCTGTCATGAGTAAGGACTATCATGTGTCATCTTTGTGCACCAGTCAAGGATAGTAAAGGGGAAAATAACTAAGATTAGATATTTCCACCGGTTTAGGATATTGAATATTCCTTGCCCAGGATACCTTAATCCCTGACGTCTCCAAATTGTCGATTACACATCTTTCTATACTGTAACTTTTGTACTGGGTAGTTTATTTGTAAAGTATCAAGAAGAAGGTTAAGAATCAAGTCTTGGCTTCTAACACAAACTCTTAGCTTACTTGTTTGTAGTATCTGGATATGTAAATAAAAGAAGCTAGTTGGAGAGAGAGAGAGAGAGAGAGAGAGAGAGAGATACCCCACCCACGATACCACCACCCACCCTCTCTCTCCTGTGAACTTCATTGCAAACCTACAAGCCTCCTCTGGGATGACTTCACACCGCAAAATAGCAAGAATATCTACGCTATCTGGCTATTGTCCCAGTAGTTACTGCAGTGTTTGTGGGTATACCACAAGGGACAAAATTCTTCTTAGATGTAAGGAACCTACTTGTTCCAACTACTGCCACACAGATTGCATTCCAGAAGAAGAATTTTGTTGCAGCCAGGTTGAAAATTTCAGAAAATTGAAGGATATCCATAATCCTGTGGTATATGTGGATACAAGACTGGAGATACAGGAGGAAGGTTCAGAAGTCCTACCTCAGGGACTCCTGTCCAAAGATCAAGACTGCCCTTTTGGGCTGTGTTTGTAAAGTTGCAGCTAAGATAATCCATCACAGGGAAGCACTTCATGAGCTCCTCAAATCATTAGATAACCTACAAGCTATTGTAGGAGGCCAGTGCAAGCCTACATCAAGTGACGTAAGCTGCTCAGCTGATGGTGACACTATTGACAAAGACTGGAAGTCCCACACTGAGCTTAACTCGGGGGTAAACAACTGGTGGAATTCTATCATCGCTAAGGTCCCACAGACTGACAGAGTTCAAAACACTACATTTGGGAATTCTAACACAATTCCTCTGACCACCACAGAGGGAACAAATCCTCTTCCCAGCAACGAGGGAAGCCTTGGATCTGTTAATTCTCCTACACCTGACATCTCTGCTTCAGCCACTGCCAGTCTACTTGACAGTGCACATACCATCTCTGATCCTACACCTGTCAGCACACCTGCCGACACTATTCCAGAATCTGGTAGCAGTGCTTCATCAGCAAGTTCTGAGCCAGGAGTTTCTCTACCAGGGATTGGTGCAGTTAATGATCAGGGAACTATCACTGCACCTGATCACCTACTGCGCCAAAGTACGAACAGCAGGGACACATCTGTCAGAACTGGTAGAGGACGGGGCACAGGACGTGGAAGAGGACGTGGAGGAGGAAGACATCTACAGCCGTCTCGCCCTCCACTAACACAGTTTCAGCGGCAGAATCTGAGGACAAATCTGCAAAACACAGGAGGTGCAACAAATCCACGTCCACCCTCCCAGGCACCTAGGCTGTGCTCTCGCTGTCACCGGAAGGGGCACACTGCCAACAATTGCCTGCAAGATACCAGGTGTAATTACTGCTACAAGAAAGGACATCAGGAGGACCAGTGTCGGAAGAAAAAGGAACTTGACAGACAGGGCCACCTGTTTAGAGACCTGTTCTCAGAACAAACAAGCAGGATCTCTGAATTAGTGAACACTCTCACACGTCACCCACTTAGCTACTCCTATCCCAGCCCAGCAGGTGGGATTGTGCCTTATACAAGACCTCAGACCTACATCCTGCAGCTGCTCAGTACCCTACCTCTCTCAAGGGCAGGCACCTTACATTCCCTACACACCCACCACCTCAAGCTGACCACTTCATCATGAGGAGCCAGTCTATCAGCATCCTGTCGGCCAACATTAGAGGTTTCATTACTAATGTTGGAGAGCTCACACATAGTTTTGTGAACACTCGACGTCCCGACATGATAGCTGTTGTTGAAACATTTTTGGATGACAGGACTCCAGAAAATTTTGCAAGAATTGCTGGCTACACCTCATGGATGAGAAGAGACAGGCAAGGGCAAGGAGGAGGTGTTGCTTTGTGCTTCTCTAAAGTGTTCATGCCCAGCACATTGATGTTGCCACCCCTACACATCTTGAAATGATGTTCTTCAAGCTCTGTATAAACACTAGTACCTCTGTACTAGCATGTGCAATGTACAGACCTCCTGTGGCAACATGCAGACCCTATCAACTTCCTAATGGAAAATATTGACTCCCTTCTGCTACAACACAACTGTCAACATATTATAATTGTTGGTGACCTCAACCAGCACCTTATACAGAGGGACTTTGATGACCTTCTTGCAGTGTTTGACATGAGAAACTTTGTTGATTTCCCTACTCATATCTCTGGCTCCTCCCTTGACCCTGTAGTGAGTGATCTGGCAGAAGGCATAGTCACTTGTCAACCCCTCGCCTACGTTGGATCGTCTGACCACAAGGCTGTTTTTACCACACTTAAGATCCCAACAGAACGAGGTGAGGAGTCCACACGCACAACCTGGCTATGGGAAAGAGGTAATTGGCCAGCCCTTTGCTCTGAGCTCGCCACCACCGACTGGAATGCTCTTCTCCAAGGGGATGTTGACAACCAAGTGAAAGCCTTCACTGGACACATCCTTAATCTACAACAAGAACACATTCCTCACCGGCAATATGTGACGAAGCCTACAGATCAGCCTTGGTTTGGCTTGGCTTTCGTTGTAGAGAGGCTGCTACTGCTAAGTACAAAGCATGGCGAAGGTATAAGAGACATCCTACCACCTATAACAGGAACTTGCACATGCAAGCCTGTAGGCATATGGGTGATGTTCAAAAGTGGGCCATTGCTAAATGGGAGGTGGACACTAAAAGAAAGTTAGCATCAGGTAGGGTAGGCTCCAAAACCTGGTGGTCCCTGGTCAAGGACAGACAAGGTTATCTGCCTGATGAACTTATTCCACCTCTAAATCGACAGGATGGGACCACCTCTACTAGTAGTCAAGAGAAGGCGGACCTCTTTGCTGAACACTTTGCTACCAAAATGCAAGTTCCTGATCCAGCAAGGGACCCTCCTTGGCTAGCTGCAAGAACTGTGTCAAAACTGTCAGTGGTGACAATAAGGCAGGAGGAGGTGCATTTCCTTCTTAAATCGCTTGACCAAGAAAAGGCTGTGGGCCCAGACAAGTTGAGCCCAAGATTGTTGAGAAGATGTGCAGACCAGCTAGCAGCACCTCTAACTCGCATCTTTCAGCACTGCCGAGTACAGTGTAAATGGCCCTCTCTATGGAAAAGGCAAATGTAGTCCCTGTTCACAAAAAGAAGAGCAGAGCAGGAATCAGCAACTACAGACCAGTGTCACTCCTGTCAATCACTGGTAAGATCCTTTGAGACAATAATCTCAAGACAAATGACAGAGTTTTTTGACTACCACTCACTACTTTGGATCGTCAATATGGCTTCAGGAAAGGTTACTCTGTTGCTGATCTGTTGTTAAACCTCTCCACTAAGTGGCACCAGTCACTGGATGAATCCAAAGTCAGCTGTGTGGTAGCACTGGACATTGCTGGCGCTTTCGACCGGGTGTGGCACCAGGGCCTCTTAGCAAAAACTTCAAGCACTGGGAATTGCAGGCTCTACGCTATGTCTCCTCAGTGATTACCTTCATGGTAGATCTCTAAGTGTAGTCCTCAATGGAACGGAATCAGCAGGCATCCTATTGGGGCAAGTGTTCCACAAGGAAGCGTGCTGGGTCCATTGTTATGGTATGTCTACTTCAACGACCTTCTTCATCTCATCCCAGAATCACATGCATATGCAGACGACTGTACACTGACATTCACTTATCCAAGAGAAGAAATGCCAGCTGCTCTAAGCTACATCAATCACCAGCTGAGAGCTATATCAGCTTGGGGAAATAGATGGCAAGTAACATTTGCACCTGAGAAAACGCAAATGATGATCGTCTCTAGGCACCATGATGTAATGCTGGTGCAGTAGTAAGGATGAATGGAGGATGTTGGCACCTGGAGAAGAAGTTGATATCCTTGGGGTGAAATTTGACTCCAGACTAACCATGAAGATCCATGTTGTAAATCTTGCAAACAAGGCAGCCAGGAAGCTTACAGCACTTCGCCGTATCTCGCATCTGCTTGACAGTAGGGGTTGCAAGATCCTGTACGAGGCACAAGTACGCTCACACCTTGAGTATGCTCCACTTTCTTGGTTTGCCTGCCCCCCCCCCCCTCTCATCTGCGACTGCTTAACAGAGTAGACAACAGAGCAAGACGTCTCATCTCTCGCCTGGACCCATCCTGGATAGATCTGTCATTTCAGCAGAGTCTTCAACATAGGAGGGATGTGGGTGGCCTTACTGTTATGTACAAGGCCAATATTGTCAAAATACCACACTTGGATCCACTTCGAGGACAGCGTGAAACAAGCTTTTATGCCACAAGACGGGCAGAAAGCAGCAACTTCACTCTGGCTGTACCCTTCTCCAGAACATCACTCCATCTGAGATCATACATACCCAGGATGACTCGAGTATGGAACACATTCATACAGCATAATGATGTCAACGAGATAAAGTCAGTTGATCAAATGAAAATGCTGGCCCACAGATGGCTCCAACTTCATCCTGTTCCCTACTTGTATGTCTCATAACAATAAAAATGCTTTCAAATGAGCTGATGTAGGTAACAGCTCTTAGCTTTCCAATAAAGTTAGGAATCCTTAACCTGTAAATAGCTGTCAATAAAGCTTGGGATCCTTAACCTTGTCAAACCCT